GCAGCACAGCGCCTGCCTGGCAAGTGTGAGGTTGTGAGTGGTTCCCAGTACCAAAAGAAAAAAAAGAAAAGGGGAAAATACACAGCCTGAGTAGACCCGAAGCAAAGGGGTCACGGAAGGCAACTGCAGAGACTGGACTGGTACAGCGCCAAGCTCAGGGAGGACACAGGCTGCCAGCTGGGCTCCCCTGGGGACTCCTGGAGGGCAGCCCTGCTGACACCTGGATTTCTGACTTGTGGCTTCTGATACTGGGAAAGAACAATCCCTTCTGTTCCAGACAGCCCCGTCTGTGAGCCTTGCTCAGCAGTCCCGGGCTCAGCACGCAGGTTACCCTGGCCCCCGCTCGCGTGGCACACTCAGGACGGCCCAGGCTGCCTCTTGCTGGACGAGGATGAGCGCTGGTCAGAGGGCCCCAGGGCGCGGTGTCCGAGGTGGTGAGTGCTGAGGGGTCGTCCTGTCCTGGGGACCTCTGCAAGATGGAGGCTGGAAGAGAAAAAAGTCACATGAGATTCATAGCGGAAAACTACAAGCTCATGTGTCTGGGCAAAAATAATCCAAAACGTGAGCCCGATGCAATGGCAGGGGGGCCTCGGCTGAGGAGAGGGGAGGGGACAGAGGGAGCGAGGGCGGACAGCAGGCTCAGGGCAGGGAGACCGAGGCTGGGACTTAGCGTGGAGCCCCTGTGTCGAGTAATTTATTGGGACAGCCCACCCAAACCAAGGCTGAGGCCTCGACTTCCCTGAAGCCTTCAGGATCCAGAGGAAGCAGGAGAGCAGACGCCATCAGCCACCCCTGGCTGGCCTGCTGTGCCCAGCTGCCTCCCTGGGCCTGTGCTGGGGTGGGAGGATGTGGGCAGAGGGGCATCTGGACAGCGCCAAACATTGCCACGGGCTCAGGCCGGAGGCTTCATCCATAGGTGAGGAGGCTGGGGCGTGGTGGCATACACCTGTAATCCCAGCACTCAGGAGGCTGAGGCAGGAGGATCACTGAGAGTTCGAGACCAGCCTGGGCTGCAAAGTGAGCTCAAGGTCAGCCTGAACTACATAGGGGGACCTTATCTCAAAAAAAAAAAAAAAAAAAAAGGGGGGGGGCGCTGGGGATTTAGCTCAGCGGAAGGTCGTGAGTTTGGTTCCCGGTACGGGAGAAAAACCAAAAAAAAAAACAAACAAAAAAGAAACTGTAGAACTGACAGGCAACAAGAAAGCACTGTAAATCACTCCCTCACACTCAGCCCCCTGACCTCTGCAGTGTCTTGGCCACGCTCCTATGGAATTTTTGCATGTAAATCACGTATAGAGAAACAAGTTCGTACAAACGTGGCCTCACAGGATATACTCAGCTCAATTTTCATCGGGAACGGTGTCAAGTGGGGTCCGCTGGGCGTCTTCTCACGCCAGTGAGTGTGGCTGCGTCAAACCAGTTTTGAAAAGCCATGTTTATTGAAGCATGCTTGTCATACAGTTGGATTCACCCTCTCAGAGCATAATTGCAAGTTCAGCAAACATAACCCTGGGGCCCCTGCCACAGGCAGGGAACATTCCGCATTCCCAGATTCCTGCCCAGTCCTTTGCAGGAACCTCTGCTCCCACTCCCAGCCCCTGCCAATCAGCTGCCCGCTTTCTGTCCTTCCCTAAATCCTCTCAGCAATGGTGTGTGGCTCTTTCCGCTTAGTGTGAGGCACTGGAGCCTTGTCCATACTATCATGCCACCTACCCCTTTGTCCCACAGTGTGGATGCCCCAGTGTGGTGGACCAGTCTCTAGGGGAAGAATATCGAATTTGTGGTGATTGTGACAGTTTTTCATCACTGAGACAAAACACCTGAGATCAACAACTTCAAGGAGAAATTTATTTTGGCTCTCCACGGCCAGCCCGCCCCATCACTTTTCAGGTCTGTGGTGAGGCAGAAACGTCATGGTGGAAGAGTGTGGCAGAAGGAAGCCGCTCACCCCACGTCAGCCAGAAACTGGAGAGAGAAGGGAGGCATCGAGAAGGAGATACAGTCCCCAAGGACATGTCCCCAAGGTGCCTGCGATCTGATCCCATCTTCTAAGTCCTCATCACTTCTCACCAGCCCGTCACATTATGAACGCGTTGACGGAGGCATCTAGGTTAGAGCCCTAGTGATACAATCACTTCCCAAAGCTCTACCTCTGCGCATTCAGCCTCTAACACAAGAGCCTTGGGGACATTCCAGCCCCAACTGCTAACAGTGATCATGAGTAAAACCTCATGGAGTCATTCTTAATGGCTGCATGTGTCTGCGGTTTGGATGCAGAAACCTTCATTCCACCAGTCTTGGTTATTGGGTATTTAAGTGGTTTCCTTTTCCTTTTCTCTTTTTTTTTTTTTTCTTTCTTTTCTTTTGGTGCTACTGGGAAGTGAGCTCAGGGCCTTTGCACTGAGCTACATCCTCAACACCTTTTTAAAAATATTTTATTTTGAGACAGGGCCTTACTACGTTTACTAAGTTGCTCAGGTTGGGCTGGAACTTGTGATGCTCCAGCCTCAGTCTCCCAGAGTGCTGAGATCACAGGTGTGTGCCACCACGCCTGGCTCCAGCTTTTACTTTTATACACACAAACTTGTCAGTGTCTCCTTCTCCCTGAAGGGCCTCATGTTAGTCAGCTTTCTGTTACCATAACAAAACACCCAAGATAAACAACTTACACAGACAAAAGGTGAGTTTTGCTACAGGTGTGGAGCCTTTAGTCCATGGTCAGTTGGGCTGATTGCTTTTGGGCCAGGGGTAAGGCAGCAGTCCCAAGATCCCTCTGAGGCTGCACCAGCCTCAGACCTCCTAAGACCTTCCACTATGCCCGCCTCTTAAAATTCCCACCATTTTCCACAGCACCAACCTGAGGACCAAGTCTTTAATACACTATGACAGGCCCCTCCCACAGAGTGGCACCGCAGGTCTCAATGAGGGTGCGTCCACATGGAGCTCTTAAAATTCAGATGTCAGCCTGGCATTGTGGTGCATGCCTATAATCTCAGCACTCCGGTAGGCTGAGGCAGGAGCATCTCATCTTCCAGGCAAGCCTGGGCAACTTAGGGACTTAGCAAGACCCTGCTGCAAAATACAAAATAAGAAAGGGGCCAGGGATGTACCTCAGTGTGAGTAACTTGGGTTTAATCTCAAATACCACCAAACCAAAAAAGAATTACTTAAAATAAAATGTGGATGCCCAGACCACACCTAGCAATGAACAGTTACTTCTGAGGAGACTCCGCCTCATTCAGCTCCGCTGTACCCAGGGAAGAGACGTCTTCCCCAGACACACCTCGCTCCCCTTCCCACAGCGGCCCCCCAGACCAGATGGGGGATTAGGCCAAGGGAGCACAGAAACCTGAAGACAGTTTCCACAAGTGCCTGGCATAGTCTGGCAGCTCCATTCTAGGGATCTTTGGCACAGCCCGGGCTGCCCTCTGCTCTTTCAGGTGCCTACTGGGTCCAGCCTGCCCCTGCTGCGGAAGCCACGTGAAAGGGAAGGGGCCCTCCCTCCCGTGGGGACCCTTGCCCACCCCCAAGGGAGCTGCAGATCCAGCTCTATGTTCACTCTCCAGAGACACCCTGGGACCCTCACACTCGTGTGTGCACACGTGCTCACACACGCATAACCCACTGCCAAGACACAGGCTCGGAGGAGACAAGACTCACGGGTAAGAAGCAGGAACCAGGAGAAGCCCATAAAAGGCCAAGCCCGCCTGGGTTGCACCTCCCCTGGGGCTGGAAGGTTCCATACGCACACAGCCCAGGCAGCCGGCCAGAAACACCCCAGTCAAAAAGGCCGGTGTCCCCCCTCGACCCACAGATTTAGCAAGATCCCAATCTTGGAAGCAGAACTGCTGGGTCCATGTGTGTGAGTTTGTTTTCATTTTGTGGAACATGGTTACTAAACTGGGTCCCACAGAGTGAATCCCTCCTACAAATTGCCAATTCCCTCACACCGTCCACACTGGGGACCGATGTCACTAGCCCAGCAGGTGAAGATATTCTCCTTTAAACGTGCCCTCCTCTCCTGACCGGCCTGGTCCTGAAGGTATTTCCTTCCTCTTCCTCCCCCTCCTCCTCCCTTCTTCTCTTCCTTCTCCTCCTCTTCCTCCTGCCACCCCTCCCCTTTCTCCTCTTTCTCTTTCTCTTCCTCAGATTGAACCCAGGGCCTTCACTCTGAGCTAGGCCCTCAGCCCTTTTTTGTTTTGTTTTGAGACAAGGTCTCACTAAATTGCCCAAACTGGGCTAGAATTTGTGATCCTCCTGCCTCAGCCTCCCAGACTTTGGGGGATTACAGGTGTGTACCACTGTACCAAGTCCACTAGGATTTCTTCTGAGAATCGCCCACTCCTGTTTCTTTACCGATTAGACCATAGTTTTTTATCTATATAAAATTTTATTTCTTTCTCCCTTTTCAAAGTTACATTCGTGTTTAAAATTTTTATAATTATGCTAATTAACCTTGATTTCAAACCATGTCACATTAAAAAGTGAATCAGTTTGTCTTTTGACTTTGTTGAACACATTTTAACTTTGCATGTGGCTCACTTTATCATTCTTTTCCTTCAGTATTTCCAAGATTATTGCGATATTAGTTCTCTTTCCAGTAAGGTTTTGGTTTCTTTTTCAGATTTAAATGTTTGATCCATCTGGAATTTATTTGGTGCTAAGCAGTGAGGTAGGGCGCCAATGTCTGTTTTTCCAAAGGGCCAGCCAGTTGTCCCCGCGCCACTCGCCCAAAAAGACCTTCCGCACGCGGTCGAGGTGGCCACCCCAGGAGCCCCGCGGAGCCCACGCGCCCCTGGACCCTGCAGACCCCGCGAATCCCGCGCCGGGCTGCCGCCGGGAAGAGCGACCCGCGGGCCGGACCCGCCCGGGCCGAGACCCCGCCCCAAAAGGAAGATGAAGCCCCTCCCCTCTTCCCCTCGCCGGCCCCGCCCGCACCCGGTCTGTCCCCTTAGAGAGGGTAATTTAAATAGGAGGCGTGGCCTTGTGCTTATTTGCATGTGGACGGAGCCCGCTTCCTTGTCCAGCAGGCTTCCGTCCGCCTTCCTTCCGGGCTTCCGTCCGCCTTCCTTCCGCGGACCCCAGGAGTCACCGGAGTCCATGCTCAGATGCTTCCAAAGCGGCGGCGAGCGCGAGCCAGGTCCCCGGGCGGCGCTGCCGCCTCCTCCGCGCTGTCTTCGGTGCTTTTCCCCGGCGTCGCGATCTACCTGGCCGAGCCGCGCATGGGCCGCAGCCGCCGGGCCTTCCTCACTCGCCTGGCGCTGTCCAAAGGCTTCCGGGTCCTGGACGCCTACAGGTGCCCGGCCCCCGAGGGCCCAGTGTTCTGTGTGTCGCCGCTGCCTCGGCTCTCTGTGTGACCTCTTGACCGCGGGGCTTGGGATGAAAGACCTGGCTCTTCGCATCGTGGTCTTTTCTGGCCGCGATTTCCTCTTAGTGAAGGGTGCTGTTTATTAGGGCCAGAAGGGTTCTGTGGCATCGTTGAAACTCAAGCCCAGGCTGTCAAAGAGCCGCGTAGGAAGGGATCCCGGCGGATACCCAGGGAGAGAACAGTCTTGAGATGGGAGAGCGAATGAACTCGAGGCCAGTGCTCCCTGCAGCCCTTACTTACTTTTTTAAAAAAATTAATTAAACATTCCCAAGGGACGGTACTACATCAGACCCACCTGCGAGAGGTTAGAGATGGCGAGGCTTAGAGTGCAGCAGGGCACTGTCTTACAACAGCCCTACAGTGTATGTTATGTTTGCCTAGCAAAGGAGGGGAGGCCCAACTTGCCTAAGGGCATGCAGCAAGTTGTGTAGAGCTGGGGTTCTCTAGAATCAGGCCTCACATCTGTGCTTAAACCCAGCGCTGAGATGAAGACCACTACTCTGAGGTGGAGAAAGGGACAGATAAATTAGCAGTCAGGCTGTCAGTGAGAGTACATATCTGGGGCAGAAAACCAGTTTTGTTTTTCCAGTACTGGGAATTGAGCCCAAGTCCTTTGCACTGAGCTACATTCCCAGCCTTTTTTTTTTTTTTTTTTCGGTACCGGAAATCGAACTCACCACCTTGCGCTTGCCAGGCAGGCGCTGTGCCGCTGAGCTAAATCCCCAGACCCATCCCAGCCTTTTTTAATTTGAATCAGGGTCTAAGTTGTCCAGGCTGGGCTTAAACTTTCAGTCCTCCTTACTCAGGTTAGGGTTAGGGTTAGATGTGGTGTGCCCCACCATGCCTGGCCGAATCACAGTTCTGAGAGTGATAGAGGTGTTCATCCACTAGCAGGAGGGGCTGGACTCTCTACAGGAGGTGACATTTGAAAAATGAAAGGTAGTCAGCATGTAGGGCAAGGCAAAGACAAAGGCTGGCAGGTATGGAGCTGAACAGGTGGGGTTCAGGGCCTCACCCCCTTCCTCTCCTTTCGCCAGCTCTGAAGTGACGCACGTGGTGATGGAGCGGACCTCAGCGGAGGAGGCCGTCTGCTGGCAGGAACAGAAGGCTGCCCCTCCCCCGGGGCGCCCCCGCCCAGCTCTGCTGGATATCAGCTGGTTCACAGAGAGCATGGCGGCTGGGCAGCCTGTGCCTGTGGAGGGCCGACACCGCCTGGAGGTGAGCTGGTGCACCCTGGTGACATGGCAACAGTGCCTCGGTGTCCTTCAGAGGATGTGGACAGTGAGGGCTCTGACCAGACCACCAGGAGGCCCTGAGAAGCCAGTAGAGGCGCCATGGCAGGAGCTGGTTCTAAGTGTGCCTGTGAGCCGTGAGCAGGGGCCCTCTTTTTAGCCTCTGTGCCCCCAGCCCACTTGATTGTGAGGATTTGAGGAGGGGCAACACGTGCAACTCGTGGGGCGGCAGCAGAAGCTCTCCATGAGGTTCGGTGGATGTTGCTGCTATTACTCTGGCCTGAAGAGCCCCGCTGCAGTCTGTGCCTCCCTCTGCCTATGCCTGCCCTCTCACAGTCGGCTGCCTCTGTCCTGCGGGACCCCAAGGGCCCAAGGTTAATGTTCAGAGAGGCCAGGGTCCTGCCTGGCTCCTGCCAGCCCTGCCACATCATGACCCATACATCACCCTCCCCCAGGTGGCTAAGCCCAGGAAAGGGCCTCCAAACCCGGCAGCAGCAGCAGCGATGCCAGCCTACGCCTGCCAGCGTTCCACACCCCTCATGCACCACAATAGCAGCCTCTCGGTGAGCTCCCTGAGCAGGTCCTACCCTCAGGGCTCAGACCGGGGGTGCAGCTGGGTGGTAGCTCGGGGTTCACCAAGGGCCCCTCTCTTCAGGAGGCTCTGGAGACACTGGCAGAGGCAGCAGGCTTTGAAGGCAGTGAGGGTCGCCTCCTGTCCTTCCACAGAGCAGCCTCGGTGCTCAAGGCCCTGCCCTGGCCTGTGACGGCGCTGAGTCAGCTGCAGGGGCTGCCGCACTTTGGAGAACATTCCTCTAGCGTCATCCAGGTCGGTGCCTGCCATGCTGAGCGGGGAGAGTGTGGGGTGGGGGCCCTGAGGCTGATGGGAGAGCAGGGCCTCTGCTTTTAGAGCCCACTGGGGAGGGACAGAGCTGCCTCAAGGCTCTGCAGGCGGTCCTCAGTGCCGAGGGCTCCGTGCAGGGAGCCACTGGCCTTGGTGTCATCGTCATGGACACCAGCTGCCTAGGACGCTGGAAGAGAGCGCTCTTGAGTATGAGGTTTTGAGAACCTGACACAAGGAGCTGCCCTGCTGTGCATTTTCGCTTTAAAAACACAGTGAGAAAAGACGCTTTCAAGTGAAATCATGCACATTTTGAAAGCAAATGTTTATACCTCCTGGAACTTGACATCCATCTGCAGGATGACCCACAACACCTGGGACCTCAGCTGCTGTCACTGCGGCCACGAGGAGCCCTGACCCGGACCCCTGCTGCCCATGTTCCCGGGCAGTGTCTGTTGCTGAGCCCCACTGGACCCCAACACCACAGGGCCTCCCGAGGTGGAAAGGGAGCCACCCTGTGCCTGGGCCCCTGGGCCACCCCTGACTGCTCCTTCTCCTTCTCTCCAGTCGCGGGAGCTTCGAGTTTTGCTTTGTTTTCTCTCTAGGAGCTGTTGGAGCGAGGCGTGTGTGAGGAGGTGGAGAGGGTGCGCTGCTCTGAGAGGTACCGGACCATGAAGGTGCGCGGGCGGGCGGGAGCTGGCAGGGCCACCGCACACGTGGGGAGGAGGCAGGGGACGCTGACCCAGCTCTGGGGTCAGAGAAGGTCTCAGCAAGACGATGGCAGCTGAGCTGACACCTGATACACACAAGACCGCCAAGTGGAGACCGGCGGGCAGCAGCCTACTTGAGCACAGAGAATTTTCTGGAACATTCAGGACTGTCTGTGTTTTCATTTTTTTACGCCCAGTAATGGTGATTGAACCCAGGGCCTTATGCATGCTAAGCAAGTGCTGTACCCTCAAGCTAAATGCCCGGCCCTTTTTATTTTCCTGTTTTGAGAAAGGACTTCACTGAATTTTCCAGGCTGGCCTTGAGCTTGCAGTCCTCCGGCCACCTCCTCCAGAGTGGCTGACTAGGATTACACGTGTGTGTGCCACCAGGCCTAGCTAACCTCAGTATTTTTAAAGTCAGGTTTTGTTGGCCAAAGTGACAGGGGAATACCTCATGTTACAGATTCAGAGAATCGGAGAAGATGGCCCAGCAAAGCCCAGAAGCGGCAGGGGTATAGCCGCTCTGTCATCCCCCCGTGATATGCGCCAGGGTCCCTGCTGCAGGAGACACGGCCACAGATACGGCCCCAGGGCTGTGTGGCTGCCTGGGCTCACTGCAGCGTTGCTGGGGAGAGTCTGAGTTGCTGGCTCAGGCCAGGTGACAGGCTTGGGGCAGGTGTCTTGGACCAGTTAGCCACCGTCCTGCTGTGTGGGAGCCTCAGGGGCACTGGGTCTGTCCTCAGGGCTCCTGCTGAAGACACAATCTGTGTGTTGAGGAGAAGAACCACAGAGCTAGTTTCTGCTGCTGGGAGTGAGAAAGGGGGTTTACAAAGAGGAGGAGCCAATCACCCAGGCTTCTCAGCCACTGGGTGGCAGAGTGCCCGGTTCAGCGGTTCAAGTGGGCTGGGCAGGCCAGCTTCAGAGCTGTGTCCTTGCCCTGTGGCTGGGACCACAGGGACATCTGCTCAGGGAGCTTCATGCCTTACCCACCGTCTGTCCTTCGTCCACACAGCTCTTTACCCAGATCTTCGGGGTCGGGGTGAAGACCGCCAACCAGTGGTACCAAGAAGGGCTGCGTACCCTGGATGAGCTCCGAGAGCAGCCCCAGAGACTGACCCGGCGGCAGCAGGCAGGTGAGCCCTGGAGAGGTCCCGCTGCTTCCCAGAGCCCTCAGCACTCCCCCTCCTGCGTGGGGGGAGCAGCTGGTGCAAAGGGGTCTTGGTGGCAGGCGGTTTGTGTGGCAGTGTGGCAGTGGCCCTCGGGCGTGTGCACGGGGGTTCCCGGGGCCTGTAGGGCGGGTGCCCCTCTGACTGGAAAGAACACCAGCTTTCAGGTTCCTTGGGCCTGGGTTCAAGTCCTGTTGCCACACAGGTGGCCATGAGCCTCTGTGAGGCGGTTGGGGGCAAGTGTGGAGCACACACCCAGCCCATGTGTGCGTTCTGCCCCGGCCCTCAGCTGTGCTGTCTGAACCCAGCCTGGCCAGCAGCCCTGCTGAAGGGCCCTGCGGCCAGCTCATCCTGTCCCTGTGTGGCTGCCAGGCTGCTGCCTGGCTCTGGAGGCCGGTGCATGTCCCCCAGGGCGCCCCCAGTCCCTCTCCTTGGGGCCGGGAAGACAGAAAGGCCTGAGCATGCCCTGGGAGCTGTGCTGCATGGTGCTGCCGCCTCTCGTGTGCAGACCTCTTCTGACTGGCCCGTGGGAGGTTCAGTGGCGGCGTGACAGGTTGGGGACAGGAGGAAGCTGAAGGCAGGGTAACCTTTGTTTTGGAGGGCAGAGGGGATACTAGGGATCAAACCTGGTACCTTCACACTAGGCTGCAGCCTCAGTTCCTTGTTTTATTTTATACTTAGACACAGTATCTCACCAGGTGGGTCACTTGCCCAGGCTGGGCTGGGACTTGCGATCCTCCTGCCTCAGCCTCCTAGAGTGCTGGGGCTACAGGTGTGCACCATCATACCCGGCTCTTGGTCCCACCTTAGAAATGGAGAAGCTGAAGCTGCATCCTGTGTGTGTAGCTCAGTGTCCTCATACCTGATTCTACTATAGTTTCGTACGCTGTCACTTTTAGGGGAGGTGAGGTAATTTCATAGAGGATCTCTCATTTCCTTCATCCAAATGTGAGTCTGCAGTTACATCACAATAAAAACTAGTATGTAAACTGGGTGTATAGTGACACATACCAGTAATCCCAGCACTCTGGGAAGCTGAGGCAGGAGGGTCACAAGTTCTGGACCATCCTGGACAACTTAGAGACTTAGCAAGACCCTATCTCAAAATTTTAAAAAAAGGGCTGGGATGTAGCTTAGTGTGAATGACGTGGCCCTAGGATCAATCCCCCAGTACCACAAAACAAAGCACTAATAGGTGAGCAGGGAGGGGCTGGGCCACTGACCATCTGGGTTGGAGGACGCGGCCTGGGGGCCGGTGTGCAGGGCCCTGGGGGTGGGGAGGAAGTGGTGAGTGGAGCCGTGCCGCCCACAGGACTCCAGCACCACCTTGACCTGTGCACCCCTGTGGGGCGACCGGATGCTGAGGCTCTGCAGCAGCTGGTGGAGGCCACCGTGGGACAGGCCCTGCCTGGGGCCACTGTCACACTGACCGGTGGCTTCCGGAGGTAAGGGCCCCAGTGTGTCCTCCTGGCCGGACTCCAGGCCTGGGCCTAGCGAAGGGACCTGTGTGTGGACACTGAGTGGACCCCCACCCCTCGCAAGGGACGCGGCTTGCGGCAGCAGTCTGTGCCGGGTCTGTGCTGTCCCCGCAGGGGGAAGCTGCAGGGCCACGATGTGGACTTCCTCATCACACACCCAGAGGAGGGCCGGGAGGTGGGGCTGCTGCCCAGCGTGATGAGCCAGCTGCAGAGCCAGGTGAGCCCTGGGCCCTGCCTGAGTGAGCCCCGCCCAAGTCGCAGCGAGGCCTGGACACCTGCTCTCCCCGCAGGGCCTCGTCCTGTACCACCAGCACCAGCCCAGCCACTTGGGGGACCCCGGCCACCTGGCCCGGCAGAGCCACACCATGGACGCCTTTGAGCGGAGTCTCTGCATCCTGCGCCTGCCAAAACCCTCCGGGGCTGCCAAGGGGGCGGACTCGGAGCCCCGGTCCACCTGGAAGGCTGTCAGGGTGGACCTGGTAGTCGCCCCCTGGAGCCAGTTCCCCTTCGCCCTGCTCGGCTGGACTGGCTCGAAGGTGGGCTGGGGGCAGGTGGGCCCTGGTGTCTCCGTGTCCATAGAGGCGCGCGTGCTCGCCCAGTTCCTCCCACTTCCCAGGGGCCGTGCGCGGCTGCTGGGGTGGGGGCAGGGGGGGCGTCCAGCCAGCCCTGCTGAGCCCCGCCCCCCCTCGCAGCTTTTTGAGCGGGAGCTGCGCCGATTCAGCCGGAAGGAGAAGGGGCTGTGTCTGAACAGCCACGGGCTGTTCGACCCGGAGCAGGTGCGTGCGGCACGGGGCGTGGGGAGAGAGTCCATGCTGCGCACTGGCCGACCCGGGCCGGGCCCTTTTGCATCGTAACCCACCGGACCCCACTCTCAAGTCCCGGGTTCTGACCCCCGTGCGGCGCCCTGCTGCAGCCTCTCGGGGCCGTGCACCGTGCTGGGTGCCGCTGAGCGAGACTCTGGCTGCTGATGCCCCTCCCCTGTTGCAGAAGGCCTGTTTCCCTGTGGCTTCCGAGGAGGACATCTTCAGACACCTGGGCCTCGAGTACCTGCCCCCGGAGCAGAGGAACGCCTGACCCTGCACTGCCGCGCTGTCCTTAGCTACTGGAACCCTTGACGGTGAATGGCTTCCTGTGGATGTGCTGCAGCCCTGCTCCCACTTCGGGGCCCAGCGTCGCCATGGGACCCGGGTCAGCTCTCGGCCTCCCCACTCCCCGGGTTCCTGCCCGGTGGGGGTATCTGAGCCCCATATCCTGAGGGCTGCGGTGGGGCCTCCAGCATCAGCCGAGGTGCGATGGCTGTGTCTTCCAAGGGTGCCCTGCTCAGAAGGGCCGGGGAAAGCCTTGGGTCCCTGTCCCCTGCTACAGCCAAGAGGTGGGGCTGCAAGGGTTAGGTGTCTGGAGGGGGCCCAGGTCAGAACAACTGGAGTCCCCCAAGGCTTCCTGCTTCTGCCTCAGGCCTTTCCTCAGCATTCATAAAAATAGGCCACCCCCAGCACTCCCCACTCAGCCCTGTGGCAGTTCGCAGCCCAGAGTCCCAGCATGGCACAGGGCCCTGGTGTCCTGCCTCCCCGCCACCCCGCCACCCCATCCACGCACCCCTCTCGAGCCCCTGGCCCAGCTGCTGCTGGTCTCAAGCCTCCTCACAGGCATTAGCTCCTGTCCTGCTCTCAGGCACATTGGCCTCAGGAGTCCGCCTTGAGCCACTGTCCCCACCTTCTTTGGGTCCTAAGGTCACCTTGCCAGTGAGGGCTTCCTGGGCCACTCACCCACCCCATTGAAAAGTATTTTGAAAATTAACATTCAGTAAAACGGACTATTTCAGTGTATAGTATTATGAATCTTAATGCACACAGAGACCGGTCACCTGCCACCATCAGGACACAGCAGATCTGTCCCTCAGACGTTCCTTAGGGTGTCCCATTGTGGCAGTGCTCCGCCCCGCCCCATTCATTTGGTTCTCCACCCCTAGAAAGTCACGGAACCGGTTCACATGCAGCAGAATGCCTGGGAGTTCACACGGGCTGTTAACTGTATGTTAACCATCGGTCGCCGCTCTTGCTTGCTGTGTAGTATTGCATGCCGTAGGCATTCCACAGTTTGCTGAAGAAGGTTTATTTGGTTTCCAAGAAGGTTTAGGTGGTTTCTGGCTACAAGCAGAGCTGTGGTAGCCAGCCATGCACAAGCTTTTGTGTACACATATGCTTTTGCTTCTCTTGGGTAAATAAATAGCAAGGCATAAGGTTTATAAGAAAGAGCGGCACTGTGGTCCAGGTTGCATGTCATTTTGCAGCTTGCCAGTGGTGCTGCCCATGTGAGCTGGACGTTTCCAGCAGCGGTCCCTGTATCCTCAGCACTGATACTTTCAGTGTTGATTTTAGCTGTTCTAGTAGGCCTGCAGCAGTAGCTCACGGGTTTTCCTTTTTGGTGGTGCTGGGACTGGACCCAGGGCCTCATGCATGCTTTGTGATACTCTTCCACTGAGCTACATCCCCAGCCCACTTAGGGTGGTTTTTATTTTTTTCTTTTTCAATGGAGCAACCCTTTATTTTCACCCACTTTGGAATAAAGAGGTTTTCAGTAAAGTCCAGTGGAAAACAGGAAATGAAAACCAGCCACCAGCACTGCCTGCCTGTCAGGTCCCAGGTTCCCTGCCCATGTGACCCTTCCTTTAGCGCTTATGCCACTGCAGCTTGTATGCGATCATCTCCTCATTCTCTGCCAGTGCCAGCATCCTGTGACACCATCTGACTGTGTCTTGCACTCTTGCTGTGCCTGGATGTCGCTGGTGCGCTCTGCATATTCTACCCATTCTTTTTCTGAAGTGTGGAGTCTCCCAGGCAGGAATCTTGTAGGGCTGCTCTGCACTTCCCTTTGTCATCTGGCAGTCTGTGTCAGGGTCTGGCCTTTTCTTTTCTTTTCTTTTCTCCTTTTTTTGGGGAGTGGTGGTGCTGGGCATCAAAGGGAGGGCTTGTGCGTGCTAGGCAAGGACTCTACCACTGAACCAGCTTTTTCTGCACATAAGGTGAGGCTTGGCGCCGTGCACAGTGCCCTTGTCCATGTGAGCTAACCATGCGGGCTTATTGTGGTCTAACAATGTCGAGCATCTTCTTACCAGCTTACCTGCTATCTATCATTGTGGTCTAACAATGTCGAGCATCTTCTTACCAGCTATCTATCATTCTCGTGACTGGTTCACCTTTTTGGCAAAATGTCCAAGTTTTTTGCCTTTCTTTTTCTCCCAGTACTGGTGATAAAACTACAGACCTTTGCACTGAGCTGCATCCCCAGCCCTACTCCTTTTCATTTTTTATTTTGAGACTAGTTCTCCCTAAATCCCTAATTTTCCCAGGCTGCATTCAAACTTGAGGTCCTTTTGCCTCAGCCTCCTAGATAATTGGAGTTACAGGAGTCCACCACCACACCCAGCTCTGTTTGATAATAGCTGTCCGATTCTGTTAGATGCTCTTTCTGCATCAAGCAGCATGACCATGTGAATTTTCTTCTTTAGCCTGATAATATTGGTTGGTTTTGGAATATTGACTTAGGTGATTCCTGGGATAAACCCCACTTGGTCCTAGTGTACTGTTCTTACCTGTTGTTGAGATTGACTTGCTAATATTTGTGGGTTTTTATGTCTGTCTGTAGAAAATGTTGGTCTGTAGTTTTCTTACACTGTCTTGTCTGATTTTGATATTAGGTGCTTGCGATTTGGGTTACTACTTGGGAAGTGTTCGCCCTTTGAATTTCTGGAAGAGATTGTGTAGAATTATTATTTTTTCAGCGTTTAGTAGAATTCACCACTACATTCATCAGGGTCTAGACAGTCCTATTTCAATAGGTTTTAAGCTATGAATTCAATTTCTTTAATAGATACCGGGTAATTCATATTATCCATTTCTCTTAGGTGAGTTGTAGTGGTTTATGATTTCCAAGAAATAGATCCATTTTTTTGAGAATTGCTGGATTCTGTAGAGCTACCCATAATATCCTTTCATCACCCTTTTAATGCCTTTGTCATCTTTAATAATGTCCTTTCTTTCCTTCCTGATGGCAATAATTCTCTTCTCTTAATCTCCCTCTGTCTCTGTCTCTATCTCCACCCTCCCCAGAGGCTTAACATTTATAACGATCTCTTCATAGAGCTACCTTTGTGTGTCATTGATTTTATTGCTGTTGTTAATTTCATTGATTTCTGCTCTTTATTGTATCCTTCTACTTGCAGTAGAAGCCTAGATCGTTGATCTGTCTTTTTTCTAATATAAGGATATGACGACCTAAATTTCCCTCTGAGCACTAATTTAGCTGCATTCCACAGCTTTGATATGTTGTATATTCATTTTTGTTCAGCTCAAAATATTTTCCAGTTCCCTTTGAGACTTCCTCTTTGACCCATGGATTATTTAGAATAGTGTTGGTCAGTTTCCCAGTGCTGGAAATTTCCCACTTGTGGAGAAGGATGTTCTTTGATTCGAATGCATTGAGGACAGGATGATTTGTTTAACCTTGAGTTTACGATCCTCCTGTCTCAGCCTATTGAGTGCTGGGATTATAGGCGTGTCTTGAGTGGTGGATTACAGGCGTGTCTTGGATTACATGTGGAAAAGGATAATCCTTTGATTACCCTGCTAAAACGTTTTTTGTATCCACCTATTAGTACTAGCTACGCCCTAGGTTCTCGCCCAGTAAAAGTTGACTGAAATTGGTAGGCGGGGACTGTCATAGCGGCAGTAGTCCCAGAGACTGCAGTCCGAGAGGCTGTCAGTCCCTGATCCCAGACTTTTGCCTCTCTCAGTTTTCTTGTTTCTCTTTACTTTTCTCATTCATCCACAGGTACCTCATTCTCGGGACTGGTTCACCCTGGAGAGATAGGGATGAGTAGTCCCACACACACTAACCGTTTTGCTGCTGATTTCTAGTTAAATCTCTTATGGCCAGAGAACATTTTCTGTATGGTTTTAATTCTTTTCAGTTTGTCAAGGTCTACTTTAGATCCACGATATTCTCAATCTTGGTGAATGTTGCATATATACTTTAGAGGAATGTATATTCTGTTGTTGGGTGAATGTTTTTGTTTCTTTTCATTTTGTGGTACTGGGGAATGAACCCAAGGCCTCTGCACTGAGTTACATCCCCAAGCCTTTTTTATTTTTTGAGATAGGGGCTTGCTAAGTTACCTAGGCTGGGTTTGAACCTGTGCTTCTCCAGTGTCAGCCTCCCAGAGCACTGAGATTACAGGCATGAGCCACCATGCCTCGTTTGGATCATGTATTTTGAAGCTCTGTTGTAAAATTTTTATGTCTTCCTACTGTTATTATGTAATGTCCCTTTTATTCCAATTTTAGAGCAGTTTTTCTTGCTTAGAAATCTACTTAGTAGAAATATACCCATTCCAGCTGTTTTAATTAGTGGTATATCCTTTTCCTTCTAACTTGCATGTTTTTACCTTTTACTCTTGTTCTTATTATTTGTTTTGTGGTGTGGATTGAATCCAGGTGTCATGCATGCCCTACCTGTGCTGAACCTATGGTCTACCACTGCGCTGTGTGGTACTTCCAGCCTACCTTTTACTGTTTTGGCTTCTGGGAGTTTTGTTCTGTGCTGTGGATTGTGCATGGTAGGCAAGTACTCTACCACTGAGCTGTACCCATAACCCCCTCTTACTGTGTTCTAAAAGCAGCTTAATTTATATATACTTCAGATTACATAGTTCAGCCATTTAAAACTTGTACAATTGGGCCGGGGATATAGCTCGGTGGCACAGTGCCTACCTGGCAAGCCCGAGGTTCTGAGTTTGATTCCCGGTGCAAAAAACAAATGAACAAACTTGTACAGTCATCACCACAATCAATTTTAGTAATTGATACTTTTTTTTAACTGCTGAAGATCAAACCCAGGGCCTCACAAATGCTAAGCAAGCACCATACCACAGTCCTGTCTGTCACCCGGCCTGTTTGCTAATTATGACCATAATTAGGCCACTCTACTGGGTGTACAAATTCTATCTCACTCTGATTTAGATTTGCATATTCCTAAATAACTAGTTATACTGGCCATCTTTTCATGAGTTTTTGGTTTCTTCTTCTTAAGTAATTGTCCATTCAGGTCTTTTACCCAATTTTCTTTTTCTTTTTATTACTTAAGCCTATTGATACATTTTAGGTATACATTATGATCACATTCATCATATGGAATTTGTTCCTGTATATGATATAACTTGGTTCTTTTTTTTTCCTATTCCCTCCCTTCCTTTCAACCTCTGTCTGATTTATTTCACTTAAGACTGTGGTCTCAAGGTACATCCATTTAGCTAGAAATGTCTCAAGCTTATCCTGTATGGGAAAGGAATATGCCATTGTCTAAAAAAACCTTATCTTCTTTACCCATTTATCACTTGATGGGAATTTGGGCTGTTTTCAGTATTTAGCTATTACGAACCATGTCTCTATAAGCATGGGTGTGCGTATATTGCTGTGGTATGATGCTTTTAATTCTTTTGGGAAGATACCAAGAAGGGGAACAGCTGGGTCAAATGGAACCTCTAGTTTTAGTTTTTTGAGGAATCTCCACACTGATTTCCACAGTGGTTGCACCAGTCTACACTCCCACCACCAGTGGAGAAGGGTTCCCTTTTCCCCCCAGCTCCGCCAGCATTTGTTATTGGTTGATTCCTTGATAATAGCCATTCTTTCTGGAGTGAGATGGAATCTCAATGTTACTTTAATTTGCATCTCTAGAATGACCAGTGGTATTGAACGTTTTTTCATAATTTATTTGCCGTTTCTACTTCATCTAAGAAGTATCTATTCATTTCAGATATTAATTTTTG